GATCTAAGAAAGCTGACTTCATCGATCTGACGAAGCCTACCACAGCTGGGCGGAAGTACTAATCCACGGATTGGACTTCCTTTAAAGCAGCAATTTTCTTAGATTTAACCCAACAACGCACCTAAAAATGTACACCGCCCCCCTCCAAAAAAAACACACCATAGTTTCTCTTTACTAAAAAACTTTCAATGCTTAAATGTGTATCTCGTCTTCGGACGACAAATCCCTGTAAAATTTAAAAGAATATCCCCGTCACGCAACATCGTTGCGTGCCAATAATATTCAAACGCCTTCCCTGTCCAGTCTGTGATCGAACACGGGTCCGCAGTCGCTCCTGTGGGGTTTCCAGCGAAAAACACCTCGTGGTCGCACAGTCTCCTGCCTGCCTGCGAGGCGCGTATTTCAGTGAAAGCTCTCCTTTTGTCTTGCAGCTGGGGACCTTACTGGGGCGAGAAGGGTTACGTCCGCATGGCCAGGAACCGGCAGAATCATTGCGGAATCGCTTCGTTTCCGGTGTTCCCCACGGCGTGACTCCTGACGTAATATCGTCTCCGCACACTGTGTGTGGTTAACGTCGAACTCGGCCTCACCCTGGTTTCTGCACTTAAAACAGCTCTGGAATGAATTATTGCTTCTATCTTCGTGTTCTCTGTCACTGTGATCACAATTCTGACTGTATCATCGCCGCGAGGAGAGAATGGGGGAAACAGGCAATCTGTTCTTGTTTGTCTACCAGTTACCCCTAAATACCCCCTACAGAGACCACGGGCACTTGTGATTTCCGTACAGCGCAGTTCTGCGCGAAACCTGCTCGTGTAGGTGTGCAGTGTAGCTCCCCAATGGGGACACACGGGGGCGCCCTAATGTCACTGATCGGCCAGTCAGCCAGCCAGCTGTGCACCGAGAGCTTGCAAGCTGAGCGGGAACAAACCTAAAAACAGTTTGTGAACATCTGGGTAACTGTCTCAGTTTGGATTTTCAGCACAATCTAAACGCGGGCGGCCAGCCCTAGGTACCCCGAATCCATTCCCCTGCAAACTTTCGTCCAGCGAACCCTTAATTACCAGTTAACCCTTAATTACCGAAGTGCGCTTCGACTCCCGGGTTAGTTACATGATTATACAGTTGCAGCGGTTTGTGTTCTGGAAGATCGTGGGTTCGAATCCGCGGTGACACCCTGCTGTTGTAACCAGGAGTACGATACTGGATCCGGGATGTTTTAGTAAAACACGCAGGAAGGAGAGACACAGAGGTGGACGCACATGTCAGTTGCGTACGATATCAGCGCCAGTCTGATACGCCCGTAAGAAGCGGCAGGATGGAATGTATACTTGCTTATGCTTGATCTAAATTTCTTCAGTTCTCGGCCTGGGTCCCCCAACACCTGCTGGGGTCTGTTACGGCTCAGCTCTCAGTCACACAACTGGGCCTTTTGACCGTTAACGGGTTTCATCTGAACAGTTTCTGACCGTTTTCATCTCCTAAACGTGCGGGACTTTGCCTTTTAACTACCGAAGCACCGTGAAATCACGGGCTTCTGAGCGGAATTAAAACTTGCACATGTCGCAACCAAACCACCTTTTATTTAAATTAAGTAAAGAAAACCCGGAGGCGTGACGCGTGGGCCTCCCGCAGCAGGACTGGGGAACCGCTGAGACAGCGTGTGCCGGTCTCGAGTGGAGGCGCCCGCGCAACTGGGCGTCAGCCCACCGCGCTGTCAGAAAGCCCACCAGACACCGCTGTCCAGGGCCTGATCTCACCCCGCTCAAAAGCTCTTCATCGCCCACGTGGCCGTGTTTTGTACCTGCAGATTTCCACTGATGTGAAATACCTCCGGCAGGACCGGACGGATGGATGGATGGAACACGCTGTAAGGGTTAGGGTCTAAATGACCGTGCTTAAACGCTGCGGGGTCCAGCGCAATGCGTTCACTCAGTCCCAACTGTGCTTCTAATATCCCGGTTTTATTGTCCCAGTCCTGCTTCTGGGCTACCCCCGTGTCTCCTGGTTTTCCCTTCCTAGCGAACAGTGTTAGTCAGGCCCATCCAGCCCGGGAGGTAAACAGTAAATGTTGAGCCCCCTTTCCTCTCGCTCGTCTGTTTCACTGATGTGTCTGAATTCACTCATGTCGCCCCGGCAGCGCGGAGAGCGCTCATTTCGGGGGTAACTGGGGGTGGGTCAACCCCACTTCCGTGTGAACTTGCCCTTGTTCTTCGATAAAACAATAAAAACACCCTCTGAAAAACTCGCAGGTCTTGTGTTGTTCATTTAACCCGCTCATGAGAGCATGTGGCTCAAGCGGTGGGCTACGTCATCTGCAGTAGCTACGTTAAGCGACGCGAAAGATCCGGAATTCACTCACCGCTGGAGACAAGGTGTGGAAACACGGGTCTGGGGGAAATATAGTAAGAAAAGGGGATAGAAGTACCGTGACAACATCTGCAAGATTCGCAGGTCGCGCCCGAAGCTGCCGCACGTCAGTTAAAACGCATCTTTTCTTATTATCGGACCGTCCCGTGCGAAAGTCTGAGAAAGACGTCAATATGGTGCAGACGACAATAATTAAAATAAAACAATCATGCAAAAACCAGCAACAGCTGATACTTCGGAAGTTTGCGAAACCGAAAGAGGAAGAGAGGTCCTTAGTTCTTTATGTCATCTGACAACGGCGATAAAGCAGCAGACACAAAGGAGGAAGGTTATTCAGTGTGTCAGGCGAAGCGAGCTCTCTGCTCATTCCACCGCGCCTGAGGCCGGACAGACAGACACATCCTTGGTGAACACATCCAGGTAGGATACGGGTTTGAAACTGGGTCAAAACTGCCTTCTGCTCGAGTTGGTTCCCCCTCCCCCACTGATGTGTGGGCCTGTTACTGAAAATGAGGCGATCATTGTACCGGTTTAGTAATCTCTCGAATCTCCCTGGCAGCTTTTGTTACGATTTATCGATTCAATACAATCGAAACAAGCTTCTGAACCGCAAACCTTCTGACTGTCTTTGTATTCGGCCGATTTTTGACAAGGTTTTTTAAGTGACCATGCGGTTTTGACTAATCTTTGGGAGTATTATTTACATTAGTTTAATGTACTAAAACCAACTGGTCTTACGGGGTTTTTTTTTTTGTAAAACGTGTTTTTAAAAACGATTTTTCCTGAATCATTGCGGTTTTAATTTTAACATTAAAACTTTGAAAATTCCCAGCCGATTTCTAACACAGCAGTTGTAAAAACGAATCGTTGCCGTTAAAAACAGTCCACTGCTTTCCTGCTTTTGAAACAAACAAAAAAAGTCAGTCTCGTCTTGCGACGGCCCTGGACTAAGTTCGTTTTTCCCCTGAGGAAGTTTTTCTTACGAAATACAGAACGCGTCATTTGAAACCGTGCGTGATCAGTCCTCAAATTTCGTTGCCAACTTGCTGTCCGGGTTGACGTTTCCACACCACGTCTCAGATCAGCTGTGCTATTCCAGATACAAGGCGCATCGCACCTGACATTTCAGACTCGCCCGTCCGCGACACGTCGCTGCGAGCGGACATCATCAATTTCAGTAGCGATGTCTTCTGGAAAACCTGGATTGCAGGAGGAAACAGAGCTAAGGTTAAGGATAGATCTCCAGGGTCTTCCTTCGACCTGTTTCCCGGAGGGCTTGGTGCCAGGCCGAGGAGTCCAATAAACAATTAACTTAATTTCTTTTCCGAGGTTTTATACGGGGGGGTTAGTTTAGTCACTCTCTTCACAATTATTCAAGAGCTCAATAGGTTTGGGGGGGGGGGGTCTCTAGGACAGGGGTGAGGAAGCCCCGTTTTAGCCCGTCAGTGCAGGACACTGGCTGCCCCTTTCTGGACTGCATCTGCAACATCAGTTTTGCAATGTGATCACAACTGTATGAAATATACTAGATGAAGCTCAAGGTGGAAAGCTGTGTCAGCGCACACTTTGGCTGTAATGGAATCGTAACCATCATCATCCTCACACTTATATAGTGCTTTTCTGGACACTCCACTCAAAGTGCTTTACCGGTAAGGGGGTCTCCCCATTTATTAAGGGTTAATTCCACTCTCACACCTGAAGAAGGATGAACAGTTGGAACTTCTCATTTCTCCTTTCTGCTTCTCAGCGTGAAACTGACCTCTGCTTGTCCCGTGTCTGGATTCTTCATGAGGCCTTAGTGCTGCGTTTTACAGCTCGATCTGTAGTCACACACAGGGGCCAGGGTGCAGTGAGCTGTCCAGCTCTCCTACAGTTTGTACTCTCAGTGGCCGAAATCTTAGGACCCACCAGCCCTACAGACTAGCCCTACAGGGGGTTCGTAATCACGGTGAGACGGATTTCCATCACTGTCCCTGGCCTGAACGTTTCAGCGGATCTCCATCTAGGGGAATGGGTGGGATTCTGTTGGGATTTCCAAGACTTGTAGGGATGAGTGCCTCAAATACTGTAGGGTTTACTCCGGAATGACCAGGTCAGAGGTCACAGCTTGGTGAAGAGGGACCCGAGCAAGCAGGAAGTGTAAAAGTAACAGGAGGAGGGGGAAACATATTAGTGCTGCACCAGAGCTCATTTATGAGCTTCGCTCTCACAACAGAGGAGAAGAGTTTGTTTGCTGTCTGCACGATGTCTCTGCCGTGACTGGCGTTTCCAATAACTGAAATGTCCTTAGCTCTGCTCCTCAAGATTCTCAATGATGCAATCGTCGCTGTCTGGAAACAGCTGAGCCTGGCAACCAATCGACCACCTCAGGGGCCTAGAAAACAATCACGCGACGCTCTCCGATCTGAAGGTGCAGTCCGCGAGGCCGCTGCAGGCTTTTTGCGGCTTGGGATTGCGCAACGCCTGAGGTTTCGCAAGCATCTTCTCCGAGATCTCGTGTTAAGTCAGCTGATTCATCGTGGGTGTCAGGTGCTGGTTTTTGTTATAGCCAAGATGTTTATTTAATTGGACCCTTGATTGAATTCATGAGTTGCCCAATTAAAACCTTTGCAATTTGTCTTTTTTTTGCTCGAAAGTGGGACAATTGAAGTTAAGGCCCTCAAACATGTTAAGTTTTCAAATGAATCCCAGTACTGGGACTATTTGTCCATTTCCCACACCCAGGCCCTGGGAAACAAATATGTTCTAATCCAGCTTGTTTTTTTGTGATGTTGGATTTCCTGTTATTTAAAGTTTAAAATTCAATTAGAGGGGGGAAGATTATCAATGCGACACAACCTCTGCTTTTTGATCAAGGGGTTTCCAGCCTGGTGTAACACTTTAATGTGCCCCTCCCACCCCAATCCCTCTGCTGCTTTTGTGTCCTGGTTCCACTTTGGAGAGAACCTCCAGTTGAGGAGCAGTTTGGCAAAGGAGCACCACGACTGCACACGTAAGCCAGTAGTCAGAAAAGTATCTGAGCACAACCACAGGCAGTGAAGGGAGAGTGCTGGCGTTCCGCTGGGTTTTATTTCTGCACCAGAAACGTCCGATAAGCAGCAGTGATTCTCACATGAGCGATTTCAACATTAGCAAACTGCTGAGTCTGGGTTTAGGTTCACCACAGTAGGGCTGGTGTCAAAGGAAGACAAACTGTAAGCTGTGGTGATTCTAGTGTATGACTAGGGGGGGTTCTCTAGAGGAGGGGATAAGTCACACTGAGGTTTCAACACGTATGTTGTGGTGGGGAGGCGAAGCAATAGGGGGTCTGCCCTGGCTCTTACCGATTCCTTTTCATGAGTTCTGGTGTAAGTGGTTATTCTGTGCAATCTTTCAGCTATTTGTGCAATATATGCCAGGGACTTGTGCAATATGTTTATAATGTGCAATACAACCCAACTTTTGCACTGCAATTTCTCTCACAGGATCAATAAAGTATCTATTTTCATCGTGCAAGGGAGGTAGATCCCCTCAGCAGATTTTTGACTCTCCAGGATGGGTTCTGCTCTCATATTTGGGGGGTTGGGGGTTATATTTGGGGGGTGGGATCAACGGGAGGCCTGTGGATCCCAGCTATTTCTTTATCATATATAGTACCCCCTGCCCATTGTGGAACTGTTATGACAAGACTAGGCCCTCTGGAAGAGACCCCAGCTTCAGAGACAAAGAGATGCGTACACACACACCTCCACCTCTTAAACTGCCAAGACCAGCTATAATGGATGTCAGGCTCATCCATGAAGGAACTTGAAATCCACAACCTCCCAGCAGCTAAAAATTAGGCACAAGGTCCAGTGAGCAAGTTTATTGTAGTGCAGGTTTTGCTCCCTTCCGGTTGCCATTTTTATTTTCACACTTTAGTTTTGTTTAGCTCAACATCCTCATTTCTCAAGCTTAGTGGGAAACAACCAGAATAAACTTTTTCAGGGAAAATCTCAAAGCTCTGTACGTCTAAACCAAAAATGTCAAAAACATTACCCATTCTCGAGAGACGTCCGGCGTGCTAATGGCTCTGTAGAGTCTCTCTTCTATAAAGTGTTTTTGGCTTTTAATTTACGACGACTTTCCTGTAGTTTAAAGGCAATTAGCAGCCATTGCATTTGTACTATACCCCAATTTAAGAAATTTGGTATCACTATTAACCATAATTCTATGTTAATAACTGGAGCTGTGATTATTCTTTACTTTATACTTCTGTGTTCTGTTAATAAAAACAGTTGGAATGTCTTGTTGAAACAACTGGCTAAAATCCATGTGAGGTTTTTTTATCCCCTGGGGAACTGCAGGACTGACATAAGAGTTAGTTGGGCAGTTGAATTAGGGATCACTGGGGCAGAGCGATTTTGAACTGCCGAAGCCTTGCTTTTTGGAAATTTCGGATACACCGAAACATGAAAAGCTCATGGACTGGACGGGGAAAAAAAAATTGCAGACCAGTTACATCTCCAAGTCATAGTATATTTCAGTGATCAGAACCGAGTGGATGTAGTTAGGAGAAATCGATCTTGTATGTCGTTCTGCTGCCAGCGTATGCCCATTCTGTCGAAAAGCTTGACAGGCCAGTTTGGCCTGGAGTCGGTTCTTTCCCAAAATATCACGCGCTGCTTTGGTAACTTCTCGGAAATGATCAACTTTGCGGCTGATATCTTTTTGAGCCACACGCGAAGTACCAGCACTGCAGAGCCCTGTGCAAACTGCATCCAAGGCTCGGGGCAAAGAAATAAAATCTCATTTCGACTCCAACCAGGATCGCCCCCACAATCCTGTACCCCCTAAAACCCTGCCAGCGTCGATTTGACTCAATGAAAGACCTTCATCTATTATTTTAAGGGAAATATCCTCATTCTGCAGAATGTCTTTAATAATAATAATAAACTTTATTTTATATAGCGCCTTTAAAGGTGGCTTCTCAAAGCGCTTTACAGGATGACAATAACAATAAATAAGAAGACTACAACAATAAATAAGAAAATTTCACAAGACAGGACACAATTATAATTAAAACAATACAACAATAAAAATAGAGGAGACCGTGGAAGATGGTATTAAGAAGAGCAGAGGGGTGAAGAATGGAACCAGTTAAGTAAAGGCTTTTCTGAAGAAGAAGGTTTTCTGCTGATTTAATCCCAGATGTCATTATTGGCTTGCTAACAGGATGGTTGCTCAGCTCAGGCAGTCTCAGCCTTTCCTTCCCTGGTGCTGGTGGGCCTGTTCTCATCCGGGAGCTCTCCACTACGAAGGGCAGGGTAGGAGACTGTCCATTCAGGGGCAGCAGACACCATCAAAGTTCACTGAGCCTCCAAATGCTCCTAACTAATGGAGATCCTCAGGGTCCCCTGTAACTGGAGTGGGGTGCTACCTGCACCGGGATTATGGGATAGAGGAACGGGGCACGATCAATGAAATCAGAGGAGACCTGTCTCAAATTTACACTCTGTTGTATACCACACAAAAAGAGAATTGCTAGATGCCTAGTTTCTGGAATTTGAACCAAGTCTGCGGCCTTTTCAAAACTGAGGGTTAATACAATAATAATAAAACAGCAGATAAAGAGTTAACACGGAAACGGACTAGGTGCGGACTAGGTGATGCAGCAAAACACCGTGAAACTTGATCCCATAAGAACCTGTAGCTCAGCCAATAGGATTACACCCTTCCTTTGAATAACCAATCACATTGGCCGAATCATCTGTTGCCGGGAGGACAGCTGCTGTCAAACAGGCCAGGGTCACTGGACTGCCAACACTTCAAATCTTGCCAAATGAGGCCAGACCACAGATCTGGGAACACATGATATGAAACTGACAAATGCAAAACTGACTATCTGATGGAAGTGTTTTACAGAACATTAAGCCTTGCAGTAAATGGCTGTTGAGCAAAAAATAAAAATAACCGTGCTGATGTGTATTTCTGTATCATTTGCCCCCCTCTGCAAAGTGGGTGTCCCCAGAATGCTGTGGTGGAGCCTGTTGGTCATGGTGCTGTGCAGGGAGGCCGCGGCCTACCCTCACACTGACCCCAACCTGGACATGCACTGGGAGCTCTGGAAGAAGACCCACTCCAAGAGCTACAGAACGCAGGTGAGGCCGAAACCTGTCCACCCCCCCAGCATGTCCTCCTTCCCCTTCATCGCTCTGAGCTAGCGGCCCGCAGGAAGGCCACCTGTGTCACTGCAGGACCTTCTGTCCAGTTAGCAGTTCATTATTTCATCACCTCTAATTGATTAATCGATAAGTCAATTAATGGTGAACGGTTCAATTCTTCCTCTGTACACCATGTTCAGCAAAACACCGGCCGCGACATTAAATGTGTCTGCTGTCGATAAGACGAGGGGCCTGCAGACACAAAGAACTCTTGTTTCAAGAATCCCAAAGAATTGTTTCTGTGTAGAAGGCCAATCGCAACGACCTGCTTTTAGAAAACCCTGAAATAGCTCAGGTATGTAGCCATCTTATATTTTCAAGTAGGAGTTTGCTTCACCAACAGAAATAAAATCTGATTGAGGTGTTTCTTTTTGAAGCGTAAGCTCTTTGGGTTCCTCATCAAGTAAGTGCATAAAAGGTCAGCTGTACCTTTTCTCGTGAGACCCATCCCCCTAATTGCAGGGGAGGGTGCTTCTCTTCGGCCGAATCTAGAAATAAACTCCTCTTCTGCTCGACAAAAAGGGCTCCACTGGCCTGTGGCCTGTGATATATGCAGGGCTTCCACAGGGAATCTCTTCCTAATAAGGCCTTTCACGTGACCTCAGAGCCAGCGAGCATCTACCTGTGACCTGGCTTGATAGACTCGAGTCGTTTTTAGAGGAATCCAGTTCACACTTGGCGCACGAGCGTGAAAGACCGACCGCCAGCTGGGCACCTGGGCTCACCTGGGATCTTCCTCTGTCCCCGGGCAGGTGGCCGAGGCGGAGAAGAGAGCCGTCTGGGAGAAGAACCTCCGGCTGATCTCCCTGCACAACCTGGAGGCGTCCCTGGGCATGCACTCGTACGAGCTGGGCATGAACCACCTGGGTGATATGGTAGGTGCCGATGTGTACCAGATACCTACAGGCAGGCGAGGGGCAGGGGCCCGTTTCAGATTGCAGTTATACGGAGAAGCAGCTTCTGCCATGCGGGGGAGCAGCACCGGTGGTCTGAAAGAGGCTCAGGCTTTAGAGGGAATTCGCCCTCCCCAGTAACGAACTGGAAACTGTGCCAATTCAGGCCAGGGGAAGCCATTAAAGAGCTCAGGGAGAACGAAAGCAAGGCGGCTCTGTGGCTCTCTTCTTCGCTGAACAGGAACTGCGCTGTACAGGAAAGCAGCCGCCCAGAAACAACACGAAAGCGTGCAGCGAGTCAGCTGTGCAGGGTGATTCCAGGGGCTCGGTCAAGGAAATAGCAACTCGGAAAGTCCCCACTCAGAGCTGGCAAGCTGGCAGGCAAAGCTACAGTTTGTAATGCTTTACTTACCCACAACAAGGGGAGGGTGGGGGGATCCAAAAAGCTTCCACTCTAACAGGGAAGGTGCGTCTTTGGATCCAATATTTTCACGCACAGGTCCCACTCGCACATATCCACACCTGATGGTCCAAACAGTCAGGATGTGTGCTACACATACTGGGAGTTAGGATGAGAAATAACAGTGCCTCTCTAAGCAAGACCCAAAACATTACAAGGAGAGCACTCTCTTCACTCTCAAAATAATGGAAGTGTCCATTTTTCCCCATAGTCCCCATGTGGTGTTTGAGTCTTCTCCCTTTTGGGATGGGTGTTTTAGCACTATCCTGGTGCCCACTTTAACACCCTATTTTCTGCTATTGGACGAGGCTGGCTCAATATTATTGAAGTATATTGGAAATAATCGTGCTCCCCCCCAGCACAGTAGCATTATGAGACATCCTTGGACTACCTGCCAGCTCTACCCTTCCTCTCGCTCTTCCTCCAACGCAGACCACCGAAGAGGTGCTGGCCACCCTGGCGGGCACGCGGGTGCCCCCGGACTTCAAGAGAGGCCCGACCACCTTCGTGAGATCTTCCGGCTCCCCCCTGCCCGACTCCATCGACTGGAGGGACAAGGGCTGCGTCACCGATGTGAAGCAGCAGGTACAGGAAAGGGACTCTGCTCACCTCGGTTCTGCACCACTGACTTCCTGTCTGAGCACGGTTTGCCCACACCGTGACAGGAAGACCTTCCACTTCAGATATGTTAAATGAAGCACTTGAAAATGAACTTGCCCGATGCATCATCCTGACAGCGATAGGCAGTAGGCATTTGCTTTTTGCTTTCCTTCCTCATGACTTCTAGGGGTCAGTAAGGAGTCCTGCTAGATTTTGACTGGCAGGATCAACAGAACAGGAGCACAGAGGTTAATGTTGCTGCCTCACGGTGCTGGGGCCCTGGGTTCAATTCCTGGGATACTATCTGTGTGGAGTTTATATGTGTGTGTGCCTTGAGATGGACTGGTGTCCCATCCAGGGTGTACCCTGCCTTGTGCCCTTTGCTGGCTGGGATAGAGGCTCCAGCTTCTCTGCAACCCTGAATTGGATGACATGGTTAGAGGATGGATGGATGGATCAGCAGCAGTCACGGTCAAGCACGGGTTTGAGGTGGTTCTGTCTAGTTTCATTGATGTTGCTTTTTAAACTATTGCTGAAGGAACTGAACTTGTGAAGGGCTGTTATTCTCAGAGGCGGGGGAGACTCAGGGGCCATGCGTGCTTGTGTTCCAGGGCGCGTGCGGGTCCTGCTGGGCGTTCAGCGCCGTGGGGGCCCTGGAGGGCCAGCTGAAGCTCAAGACGGGCAGCCTGGTGTCCCTGAGCCCACAGAACCTGGTGGACTGCTCTGCCAAGTTTGGGAATAAGGGCTGCAATGGTGGCCTGATGCACCATGCCTTCGAGTACGTCATCCAGAACCAGGGCATCGACTCCGATGCCTCGTACCCCTACACCGGCCAGGTGAGCCCACTTGAACTTGTCAGGGCAGAAAAGGGGGTCACGCGGGGTTCCGTCACACGTGAGCCAGCAGACGGGTGGCCTGATGGTGTGGCAGAGAGTGCTGCTCTCCAATCAAGGTCTAAGGACACCTCTAGCCCAAGGACCCTTCTGTACGGAGTTTGCATGTTCTCTCACGCTAGACCCTGTGCTTCCTCAATGGGGTCTGGGTTGCCGTGGCCCTCACCAAGAATAACCGTCTGGAAATGTCTACGTTTTGTTTCGTTTTTTGCCCCATGAGATGCACAAAACTAGAAAATCCTGAAACACAATCTGCAGGTAGGGAAAAAAGAGGTGTCCGTTGACATTACACGCATTATCCATTGGACTGTACTACACGGCCTCCAGCTTTCTGTGTTTTCGAACAGCAGGAAGAGTTACTTCCCCTGGAGTACGAACAGCCAGCCTGCCCTCTTATGACCTTCCTCCATTCTCTTTTCCCCAGGACAGCACCTGCAAGTACAGCGTGACCAGCCGTGCCGCCAACTGCACCAGCTACAGCTTTCTGCCCGAGGGGGACGAAGGGGCCCTCAAAGAGGCCCTGGCCACTGTGGGGCCCGTGTCCGTGGCCATCGACGCCACCCGCCCCCAGTTCCTCTTCTACCGCAGCGGTACGGCGCCTTCTGCTCACACAGGCGGCTGCTGCTCCTCTCTGGGGCGCAACGTTTCGCAAGGGACTTAAAGGGGAACTGCAGCGCTCTTTTTACATCCCGGGGTTTCGAAAGAACCGGCATTGATGGGGGCATTTCAGCGTGCCATACTGCTGTCGCTGTCTGCGATTGTGAGAACGAGGCCACAGAAACATCTTGTGAAAACACCTCTTTTAATCCATTAGACATATTTTGCTCTCGATTCTGAGACCGTTTTGCAGACAAATACTACTTCTTAACCCTTCTTCTTAAAAAGTTTTTCGATACCACTAACGAATGCCTTCTGTTGCTGGGATTTAATAACCACTCTGAGAAATCGAGACTGCAGTTCCCCTTCCTGGCTAATGTGTATTTTTTACATTTTAACATACTGTAACGTGAGCGCGTTCAGGTGCAACTGCACCGAATTCGCCCTCCTCGGGAGAACAGTCGCAAGAGAAGAGCATCCAAAAGGAAGAACAGACGGCACCACTCTGCACAAAGAGTTGCGGGGGTGTGGAACAAACAGCCCGCCCGTGCGGTTGACGCCGATAACGTGGCTTCTTTTAAAAGAAGCGTTCACAAAGGCGTCTGACCCTGCCGGGCCACAGACCGGCGTATTCAGCTTGTCTCTTTAAATTATGAAGAGCTTAGCACGAGGGAGAAGGTTTATAAATCACTTCAGCGAGGCACATACTTCAATTCTGCGAGCACCAGCATGGGTGTAACAAAACACACACAGCACAGCAGAGGCTTGGAGATCCCCGATGTGTAGTATAAGGGGTTGGAGGGGAGAATCCCCCGTTTTTCAGGGGATCCCTGCAGATCAGAATCACACAGGCTCAAGCCAGGAGCTGTGACAGACCAAGACCCTGTCCCACCGCTGAGATCAGGGCCTACACCTCAGCCTTTTCTCCATACTAGGACCTTAAATTCCATGTGGAAGATTCAAGTGGCCCCTGTGGACGCTGCAGAACAGCGAGGAGATTTCCTGCTCCTGTAATGTTTTACTGGAACCGAGGGTCGCAGTTCTCTAACACAGATGTCGCGTTTTCCCCTCAGGCGTCTATAACGATCCCTCCTGCACTCAGAAGGTGAACCACGGCGTGCTGGCCGTGGGGTACGGCACTCTGGACGGGCAGGACTACTGGCTGGTGAAAAACAGGTACGGGGCAAGGGCGCCACCTAGCGGCCAGAATATTTCACTTTTGATTTCCTGACAGTCGATCAATCGGCTCTATAATCCCCTTAGCTGGGCGAGCGCCCTGGAGTAAACACTGTGCAAGCCAGACATTAAACGCAGGAAAACAACAAGCACAGCACACTGCCTAATATATCAGGCAAAGCTGTGTTATTGTATAGAACGTTATGAAAATCGTGCTTAAAAAACAAGACGACATTACTTTCAGACATTAGGAACAAAAAGTTATTTGAGGGTTCTTGAGCCTCAGGGAGTAAGTGTAAAGCTGTTTCGATTTAATTTGAAATGTAAAATGACGTCTCATTTTTCTCATTTTTAATTTCGCTTCATTGCTTTTAGAGCTGCCATCTAGCCCGATAACCTCAAACACTTTGAGGCGTGCAACTGCGGGAGCTGACACGGCGCTTGGGATATTTTAACACGTTTCTAGAATTTTTCGTATTTAATTTAATGTGAATCTACCCGTCATTTGCATCCTCATTTAAGATGCATAAAATTAAATATGCCTGTTGTCCTGGTGTGTTTATAACTAAAGCAAGTGGTAGGTCTTAAAAGATGATCGCTTTACATGCACTGTTTTGTCAGGTCCAATGCGGTAATTAAGCTGCAATATCAGTTTAGACGTACTAAGGCTCAATTCAATTCATCAGGACAACTTTAAAATCCCACAGAGGACCACGGGGGTTTTAAGGTTGTCCTAGTTAGACCGTGGAAAGGTCTCTATTTCAACAGGACAGTCGGACTCCTACTTGGACTTGATCAGAAGTCAGCTCTTTTACTTTATCGTAGTAATTAGATTCGGTTGTTACTCACCCGCAGGGTCGTTCCGGTCCGAAAGAGAGCAAGTGCGTCTCTGTCATTTCCGAGGTGATGAAAGCGTCCCTGTTCAATTGTGTACTCTTGACCTTCAAGAGTGGTCTTTCGTGAAAGAACTCTCCGTACAACACCGTTTCCAAAAACTCAGCGTTGTCGCGTTTTGTTCCGCCAGTCATCCGCGCTCGACCAATACACTTTCCAAAGGTCCAGCTGCCGGATTTAGTACCTTAATCCTGACCTCCTCCCAGTTGTCTCTCCCCTTTCTTGAACATAATACGAAAGGAGGGTTTCTGTCACGTCCGTGTCTCTGTTCTGCAGCTGGGGCACGACTTTCGGTGACCAGGGCTACATTCGGATGTCCCGCAACAAGAACGACCAGTGCGGCATCGCTCTGTACGCGTGCTACCCGATCATGTGACCCCCGGCGCCCCGGATGACAGAGCTGAGAGCTCGCGTGCTGGGCGGCGCACGACGCTGGATGACCTTGGATCTACACGGGGTTTTATTTTTTGGGAGGGTGTTTTACACTTACGGTATCCTGAGTCTGCGTGTTTTTACCCCTTCTCTAACTGTATATTTTTGTACACATCACATACGATCCTGTGCCGGCTAAGTGCAGGCTGGAGTGACGGTGTTTATACATTGTTACGCGGACAATGCACGTTTCTGACCAATCTCCCTTTCGTTACTTTTCGAAACAAACGTTGTAGACTGTTTTGGTATGGTGGTTGTTTTTCTAAGACCTGCATTTAAGGTTCATATTCTTTCTGTGTTTATGCCTTTTTTCATGAAACAGAAATGAAGAAGTTAGTTTACACTGTGGGAGCTTCTCGCCCGGTTCCTGTCTAATTCTAATCAGGGTGATGCGTCTTAATAAACAGTGCAATGTGCCTTTTAAGAGCCGTGTGTTATGTGATGGAGTTCTTTGCTTTCCAGAACCTACACTGTGGGCTGAAAAGAATGATGTAATGTGACATGGAAATGTGTCATATGACAGTGCTATAGACACCCCGCACCACTACAGAACTGTGTCCTGACACACACACACACTAAGGCCAATTTTCCCAGAAGCCAGTTAACCTACTTTTGCTCTATGGGAGGAAACCCACATGAATATGGGGAGAACATGCAAACTCCACACAGGGGGGCACGATGAGTCTCCAAACACAAGGGAAGATACACTCAGAGGGCATACACTGCAATGTGGAGATGCCAGTTCCTTCAGGCAGAGCGAGTTTAGATTGTGGATGAAAAGGACCCAGAGCAAACCATGCGAACTCCACACAGACAGTCATTCAAACCCAGGACCCTGCAGCTGTGAAGCAACAGCTCTACCCACTGCAACAGTCACCCAGTTTTCTACATTTTTATTCACTTCCTTCCTTCCTGCAATACCCGAGAATGGTCATTCGATAATGCTGTGAGGACGCACAGTCACACGTATGGGCAGAGTCTTCAACGACCAGGAACGGAGCATGCTGAGAGAAAGCTGTGCGGCTTTCTGCATCATAAATGTCTTAATACATGCAGTGGCATTTCTAACTCCATTATCCTTCTGTGGAAAATGTAAGGTGAGTCCACGCTGTGTCCACGAAGCATCTTCAGTGTATTTGTATCCATCTGTAATCTTCCTGCCGTACATGTAACTTAGGATACAGTGCCACCTGGTGGCCAAATAGTGTAGTGCACAGAAAAATGCTGAGCGAGAACATGCATTTAAAAGCACAGACCTCGTCATGTGTCGATTTTGTACAGATGCCTTTTCATCAGACTTCATCCTGGGCTCACACGATGAGCTTACTGTGTGTTGTTATGGGTTTCCTAGATTTGTATTATGCTTTTATTTATTTTTTGTGTCTCACCCTGTGTTTGCTGTAACTTGAACATGCTTTACTGCACTCTAACAATGATTGTGTTTTACATTACTGTAAACGTGTGCATCAAAGGCCACAGTGAGGATGTGAAAGACATCAGTGTTTATTTATACCAAGATTCAGTTCTTGTTAAATCCAATCTAATACAGAGAAGCCAGTCATACCATGAGCACGATTGAGCTAAAATACCACACATAGCAAATGTCAGTCACACCTTTTGCAGGCCAAGAGAGGAATCAAAGCCCTTGTTATCAAATTATTTTTAAAAACAAAAAACTCAGAAATTCCAGCAGCCAGTGCACACAGCACACTGATAAAGAAACAGCAGCCAAACCTTTCTTGTGTCAACAAATTACGTTTAATTATTTCCAGTGCAACATCACACCAAACAAATTCATGTCATGAGGTATTTGAAGGATTCTTTCTTTTCGGGTACAAAATGTCTCGATTAAGGTGTAGTCATTCTTACTACCAGTATTATCATTCTTTGGTTTCTTAGCCACATTCATTAGAGTTTAAAGGAGCCAACACGCACATTCCAAAGAAGTAATAAAAAAGTTAGGAGAGACTCCCAAGCATGTTCGTTGTTGACAATAAACTGCCAGGTGAATGTTTATCGAGAGAGAAAATACTTGCAATCACATGGAAACACGCCCGCAGATGTGCACGAGCGCTCCGAGACCGGAGCACGATGGCGCCAGACTTGACATGGACACATTCCACAGAAAGCAAAGCGTGAATTCAGACGTTTTCAGGAGAGCACCGCCCCCCCGCGCGTCTCTTAAAAAACAGTGCCGTTCCGAGCGTCGTTCCCAGGATGTGCTCTGTGATATCCCTCTTCTCCTTACCCATTACACCACATAGACCAGGCTCTGCATAAGCATATACTGTACAAGGTCATGTACACAGACAACATTCAGTACCCATACTGTACACAGACATACAGTATAGATATTCTGTACGCACTCGGAAACATACACTATACCTATACTGTACTCAGACCTACAGTACACATGTACTGTACAGAGCATGTACGCATATACTGTACATATTCATATAGTCATACAGTATATATACATACAGTATAGATATACTGTACACATCCATATACAATATACCTATACTGTACACAAACATACAGTATACACGTACAGTACACATATACTCACTCTACATATTCATAGAGCAATACAATATACATATACTGTACACATTCACATACTCATACAATATTCACATACAGTATATATGTACATGTATAAGATTATGGAGACAGACCATTCCTTGGAGACTTTGACTCCTCTGTTCTGTATCACCAACATCATTTTCGCCCTGCGAAAGTGCTCGTTCTTCAAGATGCAGATCTCAGCATAAATAGAAACTGTGTTTCTCCTTTCTATAGACAGCTGACCGCTTATGGGAGCCCAAGGTGACATGAGAGGGGTCACCCGCAGGCCATCAGGGGCTTAGGGAGAGCTGGACCAGCTGTGACCAACATCTGGCCCTGGGCAGCACAGCTGTTTGACCAGCATCACCCTGTTATCTGGAACATGGCTGAAATCCACAAAACCCAGCCTGTTCATTGGCAGGCGACCGTCAGGAATCCAGTCCACTTCCTGCTCCGCATTTTGCATCCCCAGCATCGTGCTCCTGGCAATTTTACAATCACTGACGCAGATTGAAATGAAAACCAGACTTCTGCTTCATGTTAAGATTGCCCTTGTCTCATTTCCTAATAAAACTCAAGCAGAACAAAGCACATGGGCTCCTGCCCAGCCAGAAGACCGCCCTGTTGCCTCCACGCGATCTATCTTTCCGAATTTTGCTCCAGAGCGCCTGGGCTGCCCAGAAGCGGGATTAAATCGGCCCATGTGCTGAAATGATCGGTCTGAAGGCACGAAGCTGGGCCAGACAAGGGGAGCTGTTTCTTTTCATGCCTGAGCTGCAGGGATGTCAAGGAGAGACACTGAGGAGAGGTCCCAGGGGGACAGGTGGTGGGGCGTAGGGACAGGGTCTCGTGAAGATTGCAAACAGCACAACACCACGTGCATGATCTCGATTAGCAGGCCTAGCCTTGCAGGAGAGAAGACACCTGCCAGGAGCACAGCAATTCGTTTTGGTAAATTAGCTCTTTTCTGCTACTCTAATAAAGCAATGTTTTGAAAGGTGCTTATTTTAGCTTTCTGAGAAAGTGAACGTTTCCTTCTATAGGACTTTGATTGTTGGCTTGCTTTCATTTAGTTCTTCAGGGCTGGGTGTGGGTAGGAGTAGTCTTTAAGATACAGTATGAGAGGAATAGCTTGACTGTAGTGTCCACACATTGATCCTCTCATTCATCTGTCTCACTGCTTTAGCCAGGGGCCATAGGGTGCTGGAGCCTATCCCAGCAAGCAACGGGCACAAGGCAGGATACACCCTGGATGGGATGCCAGTGCATTGCAGGGCACACACAGACACGTCATTTAACCCACCAGCGTGTCTTAGGACTGTGGGAGGAAACCAGAGCACCTGGAGGAAACCCCCGCAACCCAGGGAGAACATGCAAACTCCACACAGACAGCACCTCAGGAGTTGAACCCGGGACCCCAGCGCTGTGAGGCTGCAATGCTGACCACTGTGCTGCCCTGCACATCTCTAATAAAGCCTGGCCTCACGCCCTGACTCCTACCTCTCAGATCTGGGATTAAGTCATGCCTGCTCCCTTTCAACTCCCTCTGATGCCCTTCACCTAGTGCAGAGACGCAGCACTGAGTAGCTGGCTCACTCAGTGAGGGTCCTGATTTTGTCTTTCATCCCAAACTCCTTGTTAGTCTGTTGCCATCGATTTGCACCCTCCCTGTGTGCAGGATCATTGACAATTGGTGTCCAGTGAATTTAGATTCTCCCTTCACCCGCCTGCCTCCAGAATTCCCAACACTTCTCCTGTTCCCCTGCCTGGCTCACTGATCTCGACCCCCCTGTGTGAACAGAGGTCCCCCCCCCCTCCCCCTTTACCCCCCTGCACCCCCACCGGCACCACAAGATCCGGGGCTAGCTGACCAGACAGGCACAAAAAAAAATCAGCCCTTTGAAGTCTACAAAGGTCGATGGGTTCTTTCATGAGCTTTTCTTTCAAAGAGCATGCTGTAACAGTCATTGGGGGGGGGGATCTAGACCCAGCGGAGCAAAGCTCTACCTTAACTGTGCTGTAACGTCACTCAGTCCCAGTGAGCTTCACCAGCCACCAGTACAGTGTCCAACGCTCACACATTCCAGAAACATTTAGTGGCGACGATCCTGACTTTTATAAGAACAGATCTGGGGAACGCTACACAACTCATCTCATCCAGGAGCTGCACCCTAGATTGACATCTTTCCAATTGTCAGTCAGTCCTTGCTCTCCACAGGCCCTGGACCACAGGAGCTCAGTTCAAGGCCTGCTGTGAGACCAAGCTTTGCCAAAGCATAATGAACCAGCAAACGTCACTCATTCAAGGAGGTAAATACATTCAAGGACTTCATCTGACCATGGATGAGCATGGAGGACAAATTCACCTGGAGTTTCCTGACCTCTGTGGATTCAACACTCGTGCGCACGAAGAATAAATACATAAATAAATAGGTAAATAAATATATTAAATAAATCAATGAATAGGATCTACGACAACAAAATAAATACAGCAATCAGCTTCACAAGTGGATAAAGATTCCTCAGCCTAAGTGGATCCAACAGATCCTTTTTCTATTTCCCCTGAAGATCTGAGCCTAGAGTGGCAATAATAATATATTTCTAATGCATCAAGACTGTGTAAAGATTCCCAAAGGGTCTCAGCCCACAGAGTATCCAAGTACACCTGTAAAAGAACGTTTGCTATCTGGAGGAAAACATCAACATTATCTTAACATCTTATACAGACCCTCTTAAAGCTTCAAGACTGTTCACCCAGTTGACACAAAACTTTCCCCTGCCCAAGCCAGGCAATCAGCCTAATGCTGTAACACAGAAGATAGGTCTTTATTCCCTTTGAGGTGTCTGCAAAAGGAGACATGTTTGGAGCCTCTCATCTCAACTGCAGCTGGCTGGCCCTGGCCCAGGCCCACTGTGACTCGAAGCAGCTCGAACCCGCGCTCTTGGTTCAGCTGGGCTCTGGGGACCTTCTGTGCAAGCAGGGATCAGCAGTGACCCACGATCGACACAACCTCCAAAGCCCATCTGAAACCTTTACTGGATGGATTTTCGAAGGCGCAGCAATATCGGATCCGTTTTCTAAATCTACAGCCGAGACCGCAGGGAGCTGAAGCCAGCCTCAGGACAGATCCCAGTCCACTGGGAATCGTCCTGCAAGCGTGACTGAGGGAGTGACTAGGTCCTGTCTAAGAATGCTTCACACCTTCTTGTTCCCTGCTTGTTCCATGAGACCTGCCTCGATCCAGAGAGCCAAGCTCTGCTGCCCTCATCGTTCCCAAGGACAGCTAACCGGATTCATGCCTTGGGACACAATGGACGATGGACATTGCAAGAGACATTGTTTAGGCGATTCTCAGCGGTCAGTTCGCAGGTCGAAGCAGGTTTGGGCCACTCTCAAGCCTATTCTCAGTGTACCCCAGGATATCTTGGGGCAGCCCCACCCAGCCAGTCCACCCACCACCAGCATCGACAATGAGAGATTGGGACAGGCATAAGACACTTTGTTTTACGCACTATTACAATCTTGCAACACCCAGACTGCCAGCCTCTTCTAACAATCAGCTGATCCTGAAATCGGCCATCCCATCCCAATGACTGGCTTGTAGCCACACCCATACGCCCCATCTCGTCTGATCCTGCAAGCCAAGCAGGGTCGGGCCTGGGGGGTGCTTGGATGGGGGGGGCACCTGGGAAAACCAGGTGCTGTCAGCTGAAGGGTTGTGGTGGTTTAGAACGAGCTACCCAGCCGTGTGGCTGAAGCCTCTGGCTTCTTTCAAGAAACAGTTGGATGAGATTCTCCAGTCAGGACAGGACAGGTACGCCTTCCTTTACACAGAGGGTGGCGGGAGTGTGGGACACGTTATCCAGCCTTGCTGTTGAAGCCGAGAACCTGGCTCCTTTTGAGAAACAGCTGGGTGAGCTCCAGGGATCAATGAGCTACAGATGACCAAACAGGCCAGATGGGACAAAGGGCAGCTCGTCTGTGGCCTATGGGTGCCACACCCCGCCGCGTAGGACAGAGGGGCCAGCATGCGACTCAGTGACATGCCACCTAACCAAGCGCATCGTCCGAATGCCAGGCCGTTCACTCTGCTTGGTTCCCTCATCTCCCTCGGCGCAGTCTCTCCATAACCCAGGACCCTTGCACGAAACGGGCACGAACCTCAAAATAGAAACGCGGATGCCCCCCTCCTCTGACCCTTGACCCTCCTCGACCGGGTCCTCCTGATTGTCCGTCCTCTCCCC